AAAAAAAAAAGATTAGGTGACCTACTAGATGCTGAGATTACAAGCACATTTGTAGCATGCTGCCTACCCATAAGGGGCTGGAACCTTGTTCCCATCCTCCTTATAGATCTCACCTTATAAGCACCAAGTGGCTGAGGAGGCTCTGCCTCGATTTCCTTTCTCACATAAAGTCATGCTAGAATTAAGAAAAGTCATCAGAAAAGAAGAGTGAAGAGAAGAACCTGATTGGAAAACTCTGAAGCACAGAAAAATAATTGAGATTTTTCTCCCTTGTTTAAAGGGGATCTTTTTATTGAGTTAAGAAAAATAACCAGTGAACATCTGTATTTCCCTTCTTTTGCTATTGTTTACTAAAGAACAGACATCCCTTAACTCAGACGTAATGTCTCCTTTCTTCAAGAAAACAGGTGTCAGATTATGTAGCAAATCAAATTTTGAAACACCGGAAATAAACTTGAGCACTCTCCACTTCCCATTATCCTTTGACCTAGAAATTCTTTCATGGGAGTTAAAGATTTTACAGTTTGAAACAATTTCTTCTGGGAAGCATATGTCCATTAAAAAAATCTTACTGTTTTATCTCTCTCCTATATGTCATTATTACTTGGATTTAAAAATATAATTACTTTAAATCAAGAAGGCCCCAGTGCGATATGACTTCTGTCATAATAGGCACCTTACTAGGAAAAAAGAGAGGAAAATAAGGCTAATACCAGTCAATATTCTGGGAACTCTATACTACGTCCAGGTGACTGCCTATGTAGAATAATTGTAACTTCATTTTTTAGACAAGGAAATGAAGGTCAATGAAGTTTACTAAACCCAAGATTATAAAGCCAGAAAATGATTAAATCAAATTCAAACTGAATTCTGACCTAAGTTCCTAAAACATGAACCTTCAGATACCTGGAGGACCAGCGATAGAATGTCCCGCTACTAACTCAGCAATTGGGATTCAAGCCCAACAGCTGCTCCATGGACTGGGCTATTGCAGTCTGCTACAGTAAGCATTACCCAGGCTTAGAAACCCTGTGGGGTAGTTGTATTCTGTTCTCAAGGATCAATATGAATAAAAAA